TTCTCTTATTCTTTCTAATACCTCCTCATTTCTAACCTTCTCTATCCACGGTACCCTCATCATTCGCCTGTAACATCACATTTCGAATGCTTCTAACCTTTTCTTTTCCGCCGCTTCCACTGTCCACGTTTCACACCCGTACAACACCGCGCTCCAAGCATACACCTTTAACAACCTTTTCCGAATCTCTAAATTAACCGTTCGCGAGCATGGTGTATGGTCTAATAAAAGTCTAATCGTAGGTAGAATATGGTGCTAGAGGTAGTTTATAATCTTGAGGGTCATGAACTTGCATTGCAAAGTAACAAGTGTCCGTTTCTTCATTGATTTTTTTCTTTTTGTCATTTATAATCATAAATTTATGTTTTGATAACCCTCACGAATGGCAGCATAGGTAGTCTCGTGTAATTACTGACCAAACCGAAGAAGCTCTTAAAGATCCAAATAGAGGAAGTGTAACGCCATCTTGTGGGTATTCGCTTCATAAGGTATTTAAACATGAGCAGAACGACTATTGGGCTAAATAGAATTGATACGATAAATGAGCCAAACGAATTGGTAATTTGAAACAGAAGTAAAATTGGAAAAATTTCCACCATAATTCCAAATAAAATATTCTGTTTCTTATTTTTGCTTAAATTTGTCGAGTTGTCTGTGGTTTTGATTTCCGCTTATTTACAATTTTGAATCAAAATATAACATTATATTTACAATAATGAACTTTATTTCTACATCCAGTATAAACGAAAGTGATTTGATTTAGGAATTAATTTAATAAATAATTTAGTAAATCATTATCAAAAACATCGGAAGCATGAAAAGTAAATGGATTTCAATTATTAGCCACTCACATTAATTTTTGACAGTTTTCATTACCTAAATAACTTTAAGTTTAATGTCCATATATAAGTGGTACCTACAAAGCTGTGTTACAGTTGGAATATCGCCAAAGCACGCGAATAAGTTTCTTTTGAACCATGCGACCTAACTGGGTGTTTTTGATAATTAGATGGCATACTAAGTACATTCTTACACAAAAAAAACTTTACAAGCGATTTCGATGAAAATAAAAATAGTTGTGGTACTTATCTTTTAAAATATTGCATCATGACACCTACTGGTAAATTAAGAATACAACAGAAGATTTATATCTAATAGAGTGTAGTAATATTATAACGTGTTATCAAGTGTATATGCCAGTCTTTTCAATAAATAAGACCTAGTATATTTCGAACATATGTGTGAACAAAAATCCCATGTGGTTCAAAGATTCAATTCGTATGATTCAAAAACCATGCTATCCTACATGAAGATAAAATTAAGCACATATAGTTTTCATATAAATGTTAGATGCTGGCGACTGCAAGAGAATGTACGAAAGCTTTAGTTAGTAATTACTGTTTATGTTTATCATAATTTCTAAACTTTGGTAAATTGGTAAAATATTTGAATAAAATGAAACAATATCGAGTCTATTCCTTTTTAGTACAAACCTCGACGTTATAGGTACTTAGAAATATAACAAAAATAAATTTATTTTAAATTGTGAAAAATGACTCTAATCTTGCCAATTAACCAACGATGTATTTTATATTTGAAATTTCTTTATTGTAAAAGCAAAGCGACGTTTCGACTGTCTATTTCAGTCATTTTCAAGCTCAAATTTCTATCATTGCTTACATCTAATGTCGACTAGTATCACAATTGGTCTTAACAAAGGTTTTCGTATTATCAGACTTTGTCATATTTAATAAATAGTAACAATAAATAAATTTATCACAGTCAGTTTTTGGTAGTGTTTACAGTCAACATATCGATATGTCAAGAGGCAAGGTTTGTAAAGCGCTGGTTGTCTCACGCAAGCAATGGTAAATACACATTATCAAATTATCAGTGACAGTTTATGCATTAATATAATTTTTGTTTTTCTTAATATGTATCATTTCTGAAATTAATCTTTTTTTCTCGTTATGTTCTTTTTCTAAAATTTTAACGTCCCATTTGAAATCGTGATTATTGTTTATTCTGTGTTCAGTGACTATTGCATGACGTTCCGGTTTTTGTGAANAAATTTGTAATGTCATAATTGTACAAACATTTTCAGTTAACATTTTAATAGAACGATGTTTTTTTTAGCTCAATTAATGAAGTAATAATTCCAAGTGATATGTAACTTGCAATAACATTTACCATAAAACTTGCTCCTCTGAACAATTTTAAAAAGTATATTTGAAACCTTGCAGAAATCACGCGACGATTTATTAACGCTATTTTACGACGTCCTAAAACGAGATCTAGGTCTAATTTTCAATTGATTAACATTCATCATCATAATATCGTCAGTCCTAAGACTGGTTGAACACGCACCACCATTCCTTCCAATCCTGAGCTTATCTTCGCATTTCCCTAAAACTAGAACAACCCACATCGTTAACTATTTGCGAACAGTAATCTAACTTAGGTCTACCTCTACCCCTCTTAACTCCTGTTCCTGCCCCTAATATGTCCCTAACTAGACCGTCATGCCCGAAAAGATGTCCTACCAACCTATCCCGCCTATTTTTTATTAACATCGATAGAGTCCTCTGTTCTTCTATTCTTTCTAATACCTCTTCATGTCTAGCATTCTCTATCTACGGTATTCTCATCATTCACCATCACCCCCTTAACATTACCATTGATTTATTTTACGTCTGAGTCACTTTCCCCTTGAGTGAGTTGCACTATTTATTGTACCATCATCATTATAATAGGCTTGTTAGTCCTAAGACGGTCACGCACCTCCACTCTTTTCTATCCCTAACAGTAGAGCATCTCACATCCTTAACTATTCGTGAACAGGTCCACCTCTATACTCCTCTTAACCCATGTTTCTGCTTCTAATCTGTCTCTAACTAGACCTTCATGCCTGAGAAAGTGTCCTACCAATTTACTCGCCTTTTTCATAATGACTCCATTACGCTCTCTGCTCTACCGAGCGGTAAGACCTAGATGTTTAAACCTTTGCTTAGCATTTGGGAGGACGCCGGCTCGATTCCGGATCCGTCTGCCTTAGTTTGTTTTCCTGTGGTTTCCTTAGATCGCTTAGGCAAATGCTTGGGCAGGAATATTCCACAGATAATCTTTCATTCTGTTCTGTCTTCATTTCGATCGTCTCATATTTCTCGGCCGAACCACCACCCACCCATTCCCACGATTCCTGAATGGAGACAGAAGAGGGCCTTCCGCCTTAACTTCAGGCATAGTCCGGAAGGACTGCTCGCCCACCAGCATTACTGGCTGGTGGGAATGAAACACCCAATTTTTTTTTCTCTGCTCTCCTTTCTCTTTTCGATACCTACTCATTTCTAAACTTTTATCTATCCACGGTTTCCTTATCATTCGTCTGTAACACTAATGAGGGAGAAGTTGAAAATATCTTCTCTTTTTAAGCACTAGTAAAATTGCGTATTCTACTGTTATGGCACTCATCTTCATGCATACCATCAATATGTGTGATTTTCAAGTCAATATCTCTTGTCTTACAAAATTTGGTAACCTTCGGTCAAATTGCGTTACCATAACAATGCAGTTAGATCTTTCAGAACAAATTTTAGAAAAGAAGTATTACTTTATAAAGTGCTTGATACTTAAATTGCACCTCAATATATTTTTGCTAGTACAATTTACTCATTAAAAATAATTTCCTAGTCGGATTGGCGAAACACCTTCTCTGTACGAGGTATTCTCAATTTTCCACTGCATTAACCTAATTAATAACTAATGGACACAAAAAAAACAAATGAAACAGGTTCACAATTAATTTAGCGAAACATGTAGGGATATACATCAATGTAGGGGTCCACATGGCACGATCCAACTATTTTAATTAAGAAATTTTATTGTGTGAATATAATATAAATTGTACAATACAGCTCTGTTTCGCATAAGAACATAGGATAAAGCACAGTATGAAATTAATTCGTCGAAATTAAACCACCAGCGTATGAAACTCAATAATGTCGCTATTTACATATGTAGTTACAATATTTATAAGAATAAAGATTTTCACAGCCAGAATTCATAATGAACCACTGCTCATTAGCCAGAATATTAATTCTGCTACCAGTTGAATATGCTGTGAAAATTTAAAACCTATTTTTATTCTTAGTTTACGTAAATGAAATTTCCTTTGTTTGTCATTGACCTCCCTCGCAATTGATGGGGAACCTCCAAGCATAACCACATCCTCTTTTTACTTTGATGAATTCTCATGTAATAAAATTTATATAGAACAGACTGGGTGTACTATTAAAAAAAGTATAAGCGAACATACAAAATTCTTTTTTAAATCAACGCTGCATGTTTTACTTAAATTGATTTTGTAATAAAATAGCATTTTACGACAGCCTCCTTTAAGTTGGTTTCAAATATTGCAATACTGCCAACATAACCTAAATGGTCAAAGCACTTAGAGGATATGGAAACACTAAAATAGAGCAGGTAACGCCATATTGACTATAAAACAAAAGAAACGACATGACCATGGCGAAACTCGTCTCGTTCTTTTTGTCTTTTCCAGCCGTAACATTATTATAACCCTAAGGTTAGGTTAGGATGATCGAAAAACAAAGTTGGCAACGCTGCGAAAGTTTGTTGTTTCGCGGAGCTAACTTCAGAGATGGTGTCGTAAACTGTGAATATCAAGAAAACTAGAGACAAAAGTAGATAATAAATGTCTTGTAAGTACAGCGCGAGCCGCAAGAACATCATTAAGTTGAGCTCGGTAATCCGCTGCGCAGAAAGGCGGTGCGCATCTGATTTTAGATTCTTTCCATTTTGTGGCAACTGATACTTTTGATGCGCAGTCTCTCATCGCGCAGCGGACCGTTGTGCATTCTATCCTTTATTGGTGATGACGCTGTAAAACTTATTGGCTTCCAGTTAAGCTAATAATTGCTCCTATCTCTAATCCTCATGTTCAATGCGTTACACGGTATTTTGAATTTCATTTGTTTCAGAGGGTAGTACCAGTTCTGGAGGTTTAGTTTTTGGCATTCCGTTATCTCAGTGCGTCGAGAACGACCGTCTCACGAAGGCGGCGGCAAGAACTAGTCCCCTGAGACAAAGAGGAGAATCTACGCTAACGAGACAAGGCAGTCGGGGTAGTTTTAGCTCTCTTAACGAAGCCCCTAAAGACGAGGTAAGATCGCGACTGTCGGAGAAGTTTATGGATGCGATAAATGAAATCACGGAATCTATATAATTTAACTAATACTTGGAGACACGTTTTAACACGTACAAGTGTCTCGGATTTTGTTACTGAAAATGCAGTAGTTGTTCGCAAGATAAGAACTTGAATATTCAATCATAAAATGCAGGTGGTTACATACATATTTACAACTTACTAGCAGTGGTACTACTAAATTACAAATAATTGAATTAAATTACATCAAAAATAATAAATTTGTCCCTTTTCTAGTTTTAANAAAATAATAAATTTGCCCCTTTTTTAGTTTTAAGACAGAATAAATACCAAATATCTAATGTTAGATACTCTAAATCATAATATTCTAGAACTTCCTTGAACACAATAATTCAAGATTCTATCGAACTCACATACAATACCGCAATGGAATTTCATAAAAATTTACTAAAATTACTCAAAAACTGTTAAGTATATCTACAAAATTGTTTCAATTGAAACCTACCGGCTAATTTTTTTCAAATTCTCAGACAGTCTTGTTTAGAAATGACAAAGGGAGACATTTAAAAAAGGGTTTTAATTCTTTAAACTACTTTTGTTACATAGTAGAATAAAGATTCGGGCTATAGGGCCGTGGCCTAAGTGAACTATTCTATCCAGACGTTTTGTCAGCTACTGCGGCTAACATCCTCAGTGGTAGTGCTGGTGACGAAACGTCTGGACGGAACAATTCACTTAGACCACGGCCCTATAGCCCAAATCTTCATTCTACTATGGATTCCGGCCGTGAAAGCCTTTATTCTTATACTTTTGTTACAGTTTCTGTTATAATCTTCATTAAAAGTACTGACAAGGGTAGACATTTAGGATTTTTAAAAGCAAATATTTATATCTGGTGACAGCAAAAGTTGCAATCAAACATTTCTTTTATTGCATCTCAATAAAATGTGTCAAAAAATCCACTCAATATAATGACAGAACAAATTAATTGGCTTCTAGTTCTACTAGTCCAAAACATTATTTTTCTAAAAATCTCACCAATTCTGTTTCTGTACAAGTTAAAATAATTTATATATAAATGAAGTGGATGNATATTTCAATTATTACAAATATGTAAATATCAGATAATGTGAATCGAATTATAGGTAAACAAATATTTGAATACATAAATGTGAAAAATTCCAACATATATATTGAAAGTTAATTTTCCCACAAAAAAATAATTTTTGTTATAACTACTTTTTATTTTAGAATGAATCAATAAATTTCGTCTAAAAAAGCATTTAAAATTATAGCACCTAGTTAGAGCGCATTCTAATGTTTTAAATAGCTTAACGGCTTTAATATATTACTTAATAAATATCCAAGTCAGCGGCAAATTTGCAGGGCTAGCGTTCTCCACTCCTTCCCGACTAGGGAAGAGATCGTGACCGATCTACCAGACTACTGCACCTGCATGCTTTTTGTACATATTCGTTGATTATGTTATATTATGCAACATATTTGCTGTGAAGGGGAAGCGCTTCAAATCAATCATATCTGTTATTCGTCACACTCCCTGATACTCTGAGGACTCACTTCCTCTGGAAGACAAGAGCCGCCATTATTCTTAAACTGATGCTTTATAGAGAATCAGTCAGTATTTATAAACATCATCATAAGGTCGTCAGTCCTAATACTGGTTGAACACGTACCTCCACTCTTTCCTATCCTGAGCTAAACTTCGCATTTCCCTAAAAGTAGAACAGCCCACATCCTTAAGTATTTGCGAACAGTAATCTAATCTAGGTCTACCTCTACCCCTCATAACTCCTGTTTCTGCCTCTAATATGTCTCTGACTAGACCTTCAGTATTATGGAATTAAAAATTTTATCTCGAGTAAATGACATTTATTAATTGTAAAAAGTCATTTATGTGAATCATTTACTTTTATTTAACAAATAATAGTTTGAATGTTACAGAAAAATATATTTCTGGGCTGTTTTAAACGTATAAAATAAGATCTATCTTTTATTTATTATTTGCACGGAACTCCTTTTAAACTTGATCAGTGTGTTCATTCGTTGGATCAAAAATTTCATTTGTCAACGTTGCTTCAATATTCTTGACAATAGAACTCCATTTCATGTGGAAACAAGGAAATAAGCTAGTGAAAAGGCATCTGTGCTGACGAAGGGAAACCGCTTTATCGCTGCTTGCCATTTCTCTAATTTTCTGCTTCACTCCTTTACTTACTTCGAGGTAAACAGTTTATAATTCAAATAATTTTCCACAATATTAATTCGAAACTAACAGAAATTTCAGAAAATTACACCGTCTAGGATCGCAAGTCACCTTGTGTTTCAAAACTTGTTATTTGGAAAAGTCATTAGATTAAAGCTGAATTTCCCTCGAAAAATACGTACAATGAGTTAGTTCTTCAACCACACCGATGCACTCACAATCAATGAAAAGTATGCACTTTTTGTGATAAGTTATACGACTCAAGCTTGGATTTTCCTGATTTTTTTGCGCAAAATTATTCTTTCAGCTAGCATTTCTGGTGAAATGTAGCATAAATTGGAAGGTACTTGTGCTTATATGTGCGGTAAATTGAAAACCATCAAAAGAGTTCATTATGACACTGTCCAAATTGCTAAGGATTCATTCACACTATGGAGCCGCTTTCGGCTCGCTCTTGGTCTAATATAAATCTCCTCATGTTCACATTACCCTTGAGGAGTTGATGGTACTTCAATCTTTTTTCGTCAGTCGGGGCGAAATGTCCCTCAAATTTTTCACAAAAAAACTAGCTACTATTTGGACGAAGATTAGAAAAAAGTCTAAAAGCGAAGCAATAAGAAAAGAAGTATGTGGTTGCATTCCATATTTACAATTGGGAAATATTGAAAGCAAACATTTGAATTTAAATAATGAGCTGCTTTTAAGTAATTTTACCGAGAGACTATCAACCCTATAGCGTATTGTGCATTGTATTTTAAGTGTTCCTGTAACTGCCATATTCTTACTTCTGTCTTCCCACTGTCACCCTTTCATCCCTTCCGATATTTGGATCCTTGTATTCTTCTTAAGTCTTCATTATCTTATCGTTTCATAACACCTTTTCGATATTAAATTATCTTTATTCCTTCCCATATTTAAGAAACATCACCTTCAAATGTTGATTTCATTCGTACTCATCATATTCAAGAATACAACTGACCGGTGATGTGATGCGCAATTAAGAACGGGTTTACACTGCCTATGGTATGGCGACAAGTCAAATCTCGTTTGGATAAAACATTGTGTGAAATATATACATACCAGATAGAACCGAAACCGGCGTCATAACGTCAGTGTGAACAGGCTCATTGTTTCCTCAGTAAAAATATTTTACCAGACTGAGATTGTATCAACCCTATAGCGTATTGTGTATTGTATTCTAAATCTTCATGTAAACGTCATATCCTTATTTCCCATCATCAAATACTTTGGTCTTATATCTCCGTGCCAGTCTCCCCACTGTCACCCTTTCTTCCCTTCCGATATTTGGATCCTTGTATCATAACACCTTTTCGATATTAAATTACCTTTATTCCTTCCCTTATTTAAGAAATTTCACTTTCAAATGTTAATTTCATTCGTACTCGTCATATTCAGGAAAATAACTAACAGATAAGCCCATTGTTTTGTCAGTAATAGTAATAGGGTACGAAAAATTAGAAGAAGTGACTGATTTTAGATATCTAGGAAGTCAAATAAGTCAGGACGGAAGGAGTAGTAGGGATATAAAGCAGAGGATAGCGCAGGGTCGTGTCGCCTTTAATAAAAAGAAGTCACTTCTATGCTCGCGAACGGTTAATTTAGAAATTCGAAAAGGGCTGTTAAATGTGTATGTTTGGAGCGCGGCGTTGTACGGGTACGAAACATGGACAGTGGACGCGGCAGAAAAGAAAAGGTTAGAAGCCTTCGAAATGTGGTGTTATAGGCGGATGATGAGGATAACGTGGGTAGAAAAGGTTAGAAATGAAGAGGTATTAGAAAGAATAGGAGAACAGAGGACTGTATGGAAGTTAATAAAAAATAGGCGAGATAGGTTGGTAGGACACCTTCTCAGGCATGAAAGTCTAGTCAGAGAGATATTAGAGGCAGAAACAGGAGTTAGGAGGGGTAGAGGTACCTAGGTCAGATTAATGTTTAGCTCAGGATAGGAAAGAGTGGAGGTACGTGTCCAACCAGTCTTAGAACTGACGATGACCCTATGATGATAATGATGATGATGATGATGAGATGGTATCAACCATATAGCGTATTGTGTATTGTATTCTAAATCTTCCTGTAACCATTATACGGAGTGGAGGTGCGTGTCCAACCAGTCCTACGACTGACGACCATATGATGTTGATGATGATGATGAACCGTCATATCCTTATTTCCAATGGATTTCAAATACTTTGGTTTTATATCTCCATGACAGGTCTTCCCACAGGCAGCGTTTCATCCCTTCCGATATTTGGATCCTTGTATTCTTTTTAAGTCTTCTTTATCTTATCACCTCATAACAACTTTTCATTATTAAATTACCTTTATTCCTTTCAACATTTTTCCATTCTATTAATTGCTCTTTAATTATCATCATTTCCTCCAACGCCTTTTTTCTTTCCTCATCATCTATTTCTCATTTCAAAACCGATTATTTTTTTCTCCATATCTTTCTTCTTATGTCTCTCTCCTGTAAGCGCTTCAATTTTTTCTCATATCTGATTTCTATTCTTCTAGTTTCTCTTATTAATACACAGTCCAGCGTACTTTTTTCCAATTTTAACATCCGTTTTACGTAATTTTTACAAATATTCTCCATTCTGGTTATATTCCATCCGCGGTTTTCCAACCCATAGAAAATAACACTCGCTTCTTACTACTTTGTTAGATAAAATCGTCTTTCCCGATCGTTTCTGCAAACTTTTTCTTCATACTATCCTCATTTTATAATATTGCGTCGATAATGGAATAATGG